GGGGTGAGAGCTGGTGTCTTCTGGTTGGGATCAAGGCTTACATGACGGGGCCGCCAGCGAGACCGGTCCATTCATAGGCGCCCATGTTTCTGTGGCCGACGACGAGGAGAAGCACGATCGCATATACGAGGTAGGCGAAGGCGAGATAGAGAGTGCTGAGGACCTTGGATCGACGGGAGGATGCGCGGACTCGGTCGAGTCGGGATTGGGTTTCCTTGATTTTGGTGGAGAGGGCGGACAGCGTCTTCTCAAACGAGGCCGTGGAGGAGGAATCATTCTGGCGCGAAGTGTTAGTGAGGGCAAGAGGAGTGCAGTTGAGAGAAGGCGATGCGTACCCTCCATGGCCAGAGCGACACCATGGTTGTGGAGTGGGAGGTGGTGATAGTTGGGACGAGATAAATGAAAGAGGAGCAAAGAGTGTGGGATGGTCGGGAAACACGTGGGCACTGAAGAAAAAGAGAGAAAGCGAAAGGAAAGAAAGGTTCCTAGGACAAGGACTGGCAGAGAGATCGCGGGGAGAGACCGCTTGGTAAGTCGGCGTTGGCGATTCTCACGAACATGCCATTACTGGCAAATATTGATTTGGATGACGAGGTGTTCGTAGCAACGCAGAGCTCCCAGGGCAATAAGCGTTTGGTTGCTGGCCTGTGCAGTGTGACCTCATTGCCTTTTGGGGAAGCTCCCAGGAAGTCCAAGGGGCCAGCACAAGCCACGAGCTCGAAATAGCACATACATGCTGGTAGGTACCGAGTACGGGCGGGCCACCAGGGAACCCGGCTGTCGGCTTGTACCGCTACAGCCCGCACCAGCCACAGGTGAGACCAGCGGCTTTGTCTCGCATGTGGTTTAAAGTATCCAGCTGGCATTCTACTAATACGGATTATGCAGGCTAGCAGGGTGTCGTTCACGAGGCTCCCAGCCAGCATCCTTGACTTTGGAGAGCACCATCTCCTGCCTTGCGACAAATCCAGAGTGCGCTGCTGCCAATCCCCTTCTACCCCTTCTCACCTGATTGGGCAGTGAGCTGCGAGATGATGCAGAAAGCCTGTTTATAGGAGTTTGCTTTGTGTTCTCTGCCTTTACTTTGGCGCATTTATTAATCCATTCCTTGAGGCGAGCCTCCATCGAGAGGACTAGGGCACCATGTTTCAAGTCAGTAGATAACCAGAATCACCCTTCCTCGGCCTGAAAGCCAGAGGAATCTCCTCTCACCCTTTTCCCCCTTCCTGGTCTGCCTAGGCTCGCTGTGACTGCTGTTCGATTATGCTAACGTGGCATGCTCCTGTCAGCGCATCAGGGGCGCAATCGACCGTACGATCGCCGAGGAGCAAGCCCGGCAAAGGACCCTCTCGGAGCAAGGCAGCAATTCACGGTCGGCTTCGGCCACACGCAGGAACGATGTTGGGAGGCGACAGAAGGGGAGAACGACGAGCGGCGACGTGGGATTAGACACGGCACCGACGGCGGACCCGGCTGTCTTCGAGGAAGCCTTTGTGATCGACGACAGCGAGGAACCCAGCCGAGCACCCAGCCGAGTCGGGACACCGAAACCTACGCTTCCATCCGCAACATCGAACAATACAGATGCAAAGGAATCCGCTGAGCAGAATGGAACTTCTGCCGGGCAAGCCGAGTCGAAGAAGGATGAAGGTGACGGACCTCAGGACGACAAAGAAAAGGAGAACCCCCAGAGTGTGACGAAAGACTCTGCGGCTTCGTCTACAACAACTCTCGCCGTCTTGACCCCTGAGATACGACAAAGGCTACGGAAACTGGACAAGTTGGAGGCTACGTATCCAGGTGAGAGCATCTACGTGTATCCCGCTGGCCGTTCATGAAGCAGAATGAGAAAACTAACGTTACGGAATGTCGCAGAGCTGTTGCGATCTTACAGGATTGCTCATAGGAGGGCTACGGCTATTGAGCCCTTCGAGAAAGCACTTCGCGAGAACACCCCCCTGACGTCCATCGCCGATCCAACCGCCCTTATCGAGTATCTAAGCCAGCTGAACCTGAAGGGAGATATGGTTTTGGAGGAGTTCAAGCGTGTATCTGCTGAGAAAGACGAGTTGAAGAAGAAGCATGACGAGGTGGAAGAGAAGCTGAAGAAGGTTGAGGAGGAGCTCGCGGCTGCCAAGGCAGGGGAACCTACGGCCACGAAGCCTGAAGAGGCCAAGTCGCCTAGAGAGTCCACGGATATTGCTCCCGCCAACGTCCCCGTGGCTGAAAGGGTGAAGTCTCCCGTCATGTCTGTCATTGGCATGTTTTCTCCTAGGCCCAAGCAGGAGGCTTTCAATGAAACGACCGTCGAAGAGAAGGAGGAAGCTGAGGATCTTTTCTCTTACGATGACGAGGAAATTCCGAAGGACAACGAGGCTGAGATCACCGCCAAAAATGAGGAAATCGAACAGCTTCGGAAGGATGTCGACTCCTTGACGCAGGAGTTATCCGTGGCGAAGGAGAAGAGCACGAGCCTGGAGGAGAGCCTTGAGAAGGCAACTACGGAGCTTGATCAATCGCGCGACACCTCATTATCGTCACAAGAGGTCCTTCAGAACCAACTCGATGCTCGCAACAAGGAGATTTCTAGACTGACTGAGAAACTGGAGACTTCACAAGATCAACTTAAGAAGCTAGAGGCAAAACTGGCGGAAGAGACGAAGACTCATTCCGCGAAGCTCAAGGACCTCGAGGCCTCTCTGGCCAAGTCAGACAAGCGCGGTAGCGAACTCGATACTCAATTGGCCAATGCATCCACAGCCAAGAACGTATCGAAGAAGCTCATCGATGACCTTAACGCTCAAATCAACACGCTGAAGAAGGAGAAGACTGAAAGCCAGGGCAAGATCGATGAATTGACCACAAAGCTCAGCGCACAAACTCTGGCCGTCAAGGCGGAGCCTACAACAGCCCCTTCTTCACCAGCGCTCACACAAGGTGCTATTGGCGGGGCCACCTCGGCAGCCTCAAAGAAGAAGAATAACAAGAAGAAGAAGGGTAAGGGCGGTACCGGTGTATCCACCCCTCAGGCTACCCCTGAGGTCGCGGAGCAAGTGGCCCCTGAGGTACCTGACACCTCAGCCCTTGAGAGTGAAATCGCAAAACTCAAGGAGGAGGTATCCGAGAAGGATGCTCGAATCGAGCGCCTCTCCAAGCAGCGAAAGACCGAGGAAGATCTCCGTGAGGAGATCGAGTCACTACAGGAGAATCTGATCAACATTGGCCAAGACCACGTCGAGGCCAAGGAAAAGATCAAAGCTCTTGAAGCTGAGAAGGCCGAGTTGCAGGGTCAGATTGTGGAGCTGGAGAAGAAGCTGGAGTCATCTGCGTCGGATGCGGAGGTCAACTCTATCCTCCAGGGTGATATCACTGCTCTGCAGAAGGATTATGATGAGCTCCAGGAGAAGACTGCTGCGTTGAAGTCGGATCTCGGCGCGGCTCAACAGCTCGCCCAGAACCGCTTCAAGGACCTCACCGAGCTGAGGGAAGTGCTCCAGAAAGCGCAGCCTGAGCTCAAGAGCCTGCGACAGGAGTCGGCTACTCTTAAGACAACGAAAGAAGAACTCGCAAACAAGCAGAAGGAGCTCAGGGAGATGGAGAAGAAAGAGAAGGACATGAAGCGCGACCTCACCAGGGCACAGCAGCTTGCGTCAGACCGTGAGGCTGAGGTTAAGAACCTGCAAGAGAAGCTCACAGCCGAGAACAATATCAGACTGCAGATGGAGAATGCCCAGCGAATTTCAGGGCGCGATCTCCGGAAGGCTGAGGCGGAGAAGGCGGAACTCGCCACGAAGGCGCAGAACGTTGAGCGCGAGCTCCAGAAGCTGCAGGAGGAAGCAAACAAGCTGCGACCGCGCATCAAGGAGTTGGAAGAACAGGCCTTCAAGCTCAGGCGGGAGAAGTCGGCTGCTCAAGAAGAAGTCGACTTCAAGAGCCAGCAGTACGTCAACGCTCAGGGTCTCCTGACCAGCATGCGTGACCAGTCGGCAGAGATGTCCGTGCAGCTCAAGGAGGCGAAATCGCAGGCTGAGTCGTTGGAAGAGGAGCTGGTTGAAGTTCAGCGCCTCCTCCAAGAGCGGACTCGGGAAGGCGAGACCATGCGCAGGCTGCTGGCCGATGTCGACGAGCGAGCGGATACCAAAGTAAGGGAAATGCGTAGCCGCATGGAGGCTGCCATTGAGGAGCGCGACCGCATCGAGGACGAGTCCAGCACCGTTGCCAGGCGAAAAGTACGCGAGACCGAGGAGCTCAAGTCGAAGATTCGCGATCTCGAGAGGGAGATCAAGACCCTCGGCCGCGAGCGCGACGACCTGGAGGAGCGCGAAAAGGCGTGGAAACGGAGGCGCGAGGAGCTCGAAAGCGTCGAGGAGAAGGCCGAGGCCGAGGCAGCAGAGATGCACTCCGCCGTCTCACAACTGCGCACCGCCCTGGACGCATCCGAGAACCAGGTGCGCGACGCCGAGAGGCAGCGGGCCGAGCTGCGCAAGATGCTCGACGAGGCGCGCCAGCGGTACGACCGGTTGACCAAGGAGCTCAAGGGCACGCAGGCGAAGCTCGCAGCCGGGTCTGGGCGCAGCTCCATGGAGTCGCCCACCGGCAGCGCCTTCGCCAACGGAAGCGCGCAGAATGGGGACACCCTGTATCTAAAGACGATCCTGCTACAGTTCCTGGAGCAAAAGGACAGCAGATTACGAGCACAGCTGGTCCCTGTCTTGGGGAAGCTGCTCAAGTTTGACAAGTAAGTCTTTTTGCTGCCCCTTATGTTACCTATTCACGTATCTAACTCTTCTACCAGGGCGGATGAAGCGAAGTGGATCAACGCTGTCCATCATATTGAGGTGCGATAAGGGCCTCCCAAATAGGAACGGGAGATCTTCACCTTGCTTATATCGTGTGCCTTTGAGCATGCGATTGGGGTGAGAAATCAGCTTGGAGGCGAAAGAGGCGGAACCTGAATATATCCCGTACAGCTGCGTGTATAAACTCTACTATATGGCACAAGCACTGCTTTTACTTGTACGACCAAAAACTCTTCAGGAGTCCGTCGATTTTCCCTTCCCCTTGTAAAAATCTGTACAATTGCGTGTTTGAGGGGATAGGGGGGTCTATGACTGTCGCTCACGGTTTCATTTTGTCGTTGCCAATAAACAGCCAGCCAAGGCGTTTCATAAATTGATTTTGTAACAATGCCATCTACATTTCCTGAACAGACGAGCGAGATAAATAACAAGCGTGGTATAGTGATCAAGCATATTGTCCGTTGGGTGGCTGTCCTCAGGTTCAGTTGGAATATTTTAGCGCCTTTGCATGCCAGCAACGCATCAATGACACTCAGGGTTGAGGTGAAGATTCAGAAGACGTAAAATTTGATGCATTTGCCTATCCTAAGCAATCCCATATACGTAGACCTGACCTGATATCCAATGCCCCAAACATGTACGCGATCCATGTCTATGCATAAACCTGTTACCACAAGGAGACGTAAACTTAAGCGGAAATCCAAAACTAAAAAGGGCATAGGGACAATCCATTTCCAAAATAACAGTACCACATCGCTAACTAATGCCGATAATAGATCTGCACAAAACACAAATGACTACGCCGTGGTCTTGGCCTGGATGACCAAAAGGTCTGCCTCGATCTCGGAGCTGATGAGGAGGGCGGCAGCGCCACCAAGGCAGTCGACGACGTCGCCAGGGGCCTCGGCTCGGGCCTTGCCATTAGGCAGCTTGCCCGCAGCTCCACGACGCCCGATGAGAACAAGGTTGTTCCATGTGGTGTCCCCGGTGTCCTTCTGAATGGCGGAGGCAATGTTGGAGACCAGCTCATCTGCCACATCGTTGGTCGGGTTGAACTTGATCTCTACGCGGGCGGAAATGGATTGCTTAACCGACTCGGAAACAGCCCGGAGGTACTCGCGGTCGTCAGACTCGGAGTGATCAGAGTACATGTGGTAGACAATAGCAGAGACCTCACGTTTCTCGCAAAGTTGGTACAGAAGCATCAGGGCCAGCCTATCATCGTTGCCACCGAAGAATGGGAGAATGATGCGCTGAGCCTTCTTCTTTACGGGAAGGGGGTTGATTTCACGGTGAATGTCGCTGAAAGAGAATGTGCGCTGGAGCCTGTTTGGCGAGTCGGGCTGGCTTGCCTCAACGTGTACCGCCCTCTTGGGGAAGTAGACACCAATACTTCGCTGGTTCGAGGCATAGACGGAGTTGGTGAATTGCAAGTAACTTGAAGACAACTTGCTCTCATGGACATGTTGGGCACTGTCATCCAGAGTGCCCGAGCCACTCCAAGGAACAACGAGGAGATCAGCTGAGATATTGGAAGCCTTTGTCAAGAGCGCTTCCGCGAACCGGCTACCCAGCATTGTAGCCACTTCTCCTGAAACCGCCACACGGAAGAGCTGGCCCACAATACGCCATGTGTTGAGAATAGGGTCATTTCTAGTGTACTCCTCAATCTCAGACACTGTCATTCCGGTGGTGTCACGGACGGTCATGACGGCTGAATCACGATCTCCCAGCTGGATAAGACGGAGGCCATGGGCCTTGACCGACCTCACAGGAGGAGAAGCCGGGGCCTTGTCCTTCTCTGGGGAGAAATGGCCATGGCTGTGGCTGTCGTCGGTTTGATACTCATCAACTGTTGCCTCATTGCCAAACAGAGAGACGAGGTTCAGTAGACCCGGAAGGTTATCAAGGCGGAGGTATACCATGAGCTGGTTCACTCGGTTGTTGGAAGGAATGTCCTTGGAGGTAATAGCATCGTCGGTCGTCTGGCTAGGGCGTGTCGTGTCATCCCATTCAATCTCGCCCCTCTTCCAGGCAGCCAGCTTCTCCTGGTACCAAACAGGGTAGAGGAAAGTCACAAGCGGGGTGGTTGTAAAGGTTGTGAGAAGAGCCATGACGACAAAGATGGTGAAAGTCCTGGTGCTCAAGATCTTGGCTTGCAGACCAATGTTCTATAAAGCGGTTAGTCACAGCTCTCAAATAGCAAAGCAGGGTTCATATACATACAAGGACGATCAGCTCCACCAAACCTTTGCAACTCATAAGAGCACCAATGGTGAAGGATTCGCGCCAGACAATGCCGCTAAAACGAGCAGCAAGGGTTGCACCTATGATCTTACTGAAAAATGCAGTGAGAGTAACTGCAAAGACATATCCCCACGTGATGCCGTTGTCGAGCAACCCCAGATTAGTCTTAAGACCGGACAAGGTAAAATAAAGTGGCAAGAAAAGAGCACCGATGACATCCTCAAGCTTCTCGGTAACTTTGAGGGCAAATCCATTGTCACGAGGAACAATTAGACCAACCATGAATCCACCGAAGATGGGGTGAACTCCAATGATACCGGTGAAGAAGGCAGAGGCAAGAGCGACGAGGAGAATGAGAGCAATCACACTCTGTGAGGGGCCGGTCTCGAGATTGCCCATCCACTTGATGAACCTGTAGAGCAGAGGCTTAATGACATAGAGAAGAAGTAGAAGGTACCCAAGACAGCAGAGCAGAATGTAGAGAGAGGTCAGCCCGTTGCCAGCGTTTGCCAGAGTCACGCAAAGAGCAAGGAGAATCCAGCCTGAAGGGAAAAGAATGTGATTAGCTGCTTGTGTTCACGTAACACCACCATTTAGCGGGCAGAACGTACCAATGACATCGTTTGCAACACCAGCAGAGAGGGTGATAATACCAGCCGTAGTCGAGAGAAGATTGAGCTCAGTCAGAATTCTGCACAACACTGGGAAGGCCTAGAGTCGGAGGTCAGCACGGATTTGGTCACGATCGATGCTGCATTGCGCTATGAAAAAAATATGACTTACGGTAATAGCGATGGCAACACCAATGAAGAGCATATACGTGCTGAACTCAATATGGACCAGACCCTCCTCATCGCGGAACTGGTGGTAGAGACCCCAGGCCAGGGCACATCCAAGACCGAACGGGAGAGCCAGGCCACCCACTGCGACGGCGGAAGCAATGCGCCAGTTGCTGATGAGGAAGCGCACATTCGTCTCCATGCCAATGAGGAAGAGATAGAGAACAAGACCGAGATTGGCGACAAGCGATAGACCGGGAAGCGATTCGGTGGGGAAGATGGCGTTCTTGAAACCCGGTATGCGACCCATAACAGACGGACCAAGAATGATACCGCCAACGACTTCGGCAATGACTCGCGGCTGGCGAATCTTGGCCAGAGGCCAGTGCAAAAGGTGGCATGTTATGAGGATCAGGCCGGCCTAGAGCAGCAAGCACATGCAGGTCAGCGAACGGAGCCGGGTCAGAGAGTCGCAACAAGCGAGGGAACCTACCTGGATAATAAAAAGAATAATGGGATCATTCGAATTGTACTTGGATGGGTTGAGGCCCTCGAGGACACCGGCCTGCGAAGGCGCCCTGTCACCGCTGTCGGACATGGCTGGTATCGCGACGGACAGCTCTGGATGAATGATGGGTTGAAAGCGACGTCGCAATTCGATTCTGGCTGTCGCACAATACGCGGGATTCGGAATTGACAGACTCGGAACCGCTGGCTGAGTCTTGTCGCCGCGATGGAGGAGTTACGATGCAGCTGGACGATCGAGAGGCTACGGCGGGCTTGCGGGCAGCGCGCAATGATAATATATGCAAGCCGAGCTGAGGCCCATGCACATGCGGGCTTCGGTATGGTATGGCGACAGAGACGTTGTGTCAGACAGCCAGGGTCCCCGATGTGGGATGATCAGGCGGCCGAAACAACTGATGCGAGGGTCCACACCCATTGGCGAATGGACCGGGAGATGGAGGCTGAGGGCTGGGGCAAGAGGGACCAAGACAAGGAGGGCACTGGACAAGGAGAGACGGTGTGAGGGTGAGGGTGAGGGGAACGATGGAGGAATGGGGACGGACTGGGGGTGTGAGTGGCCGCGACCGACGACAGCCAAGCCGGACAGGCAGCTTATCGACGGCACATGGCTCCCCCAAGATGCGCCCGTGGCTCCCCCAGAGGCAAAAGGCAAAAACACCTGGCTTCGGCCAGCGCGACAAGCGACGGCTCCACCGGCTTCAGCCATCAGTTGATAGACGCAAGCGGCTTGGCTACTGCTGCACCATCGCCGGCTGACTGGCCAGTCTGGGGGAGGGGAATCTCCATCTCCTCTCTGTCGCATCTCCTCATCCTCTTCTCTGGTTTGGTTCGCTCCTTCTGCACTACCTAATCACCAGCTGCAGGCCCATGCAGCCTCGCCCCACATTTGTCGCCGCCAACCCAAAAGCCGTGCATGTCTCTTGTCTCTGCTCCAACGTCCCAAAGATCCTGTTCCAGACAATGCGCCTCCTACCACGACCGCCTTCTAGACCGCGCCGTGCCATGCCAGCCCATATCAGCCGAACCCGGCTTGGGGAGACACAACATCGAAAAGCAAAGAAAGAGACCACTCCCTAGCCTCTGAACACGTTATCTCAGCTTACGAGCCAGTGGGCAGCCAGGATGACAAAAGCATATCAAAGTTGCACTCTGCAGCATGTGCTAATGTGCCTAGTGTAGCACATGTGCGTAGGCTGCCTCCGGCCGCGAACCAGGGTCCTGGTGCTAAGAGCCGTTTCGAACCAGCCAACGTTCAGAGTTAGTGCGTAACGTCACCAAAAAAAACTCGGTGTGGCACAGCGCGAACCGGGAATCAGCTCTTACTCAGCCGGCCTGGTAAAGGCAACATAAGAAAGGCACACAAGCATTACCAGCGCAACCCGCGCCAGGGGCTGATATGCTGCCTCCCGGAAAGGAGCGTCAGCCGGCCCGGATTGGCTCTCGTAAAGCGAAATGTCCGATCAATGGCAGGCCGACGTAGCAATGTGTGCATCC